TCTCTCTCTCTCTCTCTCTTACTCTCTCTCTCTCTCTTACTCTCTCTCTCTCTCTCTGTCTTACTCTCTCTCTGTCTTACTCTCTCTCTCTCTCTCTCTCTTACTCTCTCTCTCTCTCTTACTCTCTCTCTCTCTCTTACTCTCTCTCTCTCATGGGAGTCTTACTTTTTCTCTCCTCTCCATATAAGTTTATATCTCTCTCCCTTTATCTTCCTCTTTATCCTCTTTGTGCGTATGTATATCTTTTTCTCTGTTTTTTTTTCTCTCTCTCTCTCTCTCTCTATTCACTCATGTTATCTTTCTCTTTGCCTATGTGTGCGTGTCTCTCTCTGTCTCTCTCTCTCTCTTTGTTGTCTCTCCCAAGCCCTGTTTGTCTCTGCCGCTCCCTTGCTCTTTTCCCATATCTCTTTTAGTATTTCTCCCTATCTCTATTTTAATCCTGCGCTTTCTCTCCCTCGATCTGCTAGATCCATAGTGGTGCTCCATTATATATCAGCTATATATTTATTTGTGATATGCAAAATTATGAACCGCTCCCTTTTAGGAAAAAGAGAGGGAGAGAGAGAGAGAGAGAGAAGCGCCTAATTTTAAACTTTTAGCATCCACATTGACTCTCGTGCTAATCCCTTGAAGAGGAGACGCGCCGCGACGCAGTTTAACCCAGTTTCGATTTTTGTTTTTGTGCTTTTTTTTGGCATTGCGACAAATGAGCGTTGCCAATAAACCATAATTTATTGGCTAGGCAGGGTTTCGGTGTCGGCGACGGCGACGGCGACAACGACGGCTCCAGCTGCAACTCTCTGGCTCTCGGATATTAAGTTTTGACCGGGGGGTGTGGCAGCAGCGTCATCTTCATTATTGGCAACGATCATCATGATCACGTTCATGATCGTCATAATGATCATTGGGGCAGCGTTGAAGCGTTGACAAGCTTTCAGTTCCCGGTTGTTGTTGTTGTTGTTGTAGTTGTAGTTGTTGCTGTTGCTGGGCGAGGGTCTATTCATATACCCTTACGCATAGAAAATTTATAAAAAGGGGTATGATGACATTATTCACAAATTTGTGTGGTTATACCCTAAACCCATTTAAAGCGGGGAAATTAGGGTATATTGGTTTTGTTCAAGGTATGTAACAGGCAGAAGGAGGCGTGGCAGACCACATGAATTGGATATATTCTTGATCAATGCGACTAGCTGAGTCGATTTAGTCATATCAGAATGATATGAGGACAAAAGACTTGAAACAGCAGAGTGCAGATCGAACTTGTTTTTATGAATCGATAACTACTCTTATTCGTTTTTGTTATCGATTAAGCATGTAATCGATGAATAGTTGTAAAATTATATGTCCTACATTTTTAGAGCGACAGTCTCCAAATTTCAAAGAGAGATTCATGTGTATTTTATAGAGTTTCCAATACACTTCATCACTCTCTTCTTTTTCTGGTTCTTTGCCTTTTGGCTTATATGAAATGGTGTTTATTGATAATGAGCTCTACTGTATATATGTATGTGTGAAATGAAATACAAAAAGTGAAGAGCGTGATGACAAGCTTATCGATGAATATACATTTGTATATATAAAGTGCTAGAGCTAGGTAATTGTCATATAGAAGAGAGGTTGGAAGAGAAACCCCTAAGAATATGTTAGAGAGGGGTATACGACTTGAAACCTATTCAGAACTATCGTCTGTTATTGATGGTGGCATTGGGTGAGGGTATCTGCTAGTCGTGTCTGCCCTGCTCCCACTTGTGTGCGTGTGCGTGTGTTTTATTTTTGTTTCATTTGACCCATTAAAGGCGAATCTTGGCAGTTAGTCGTTGTAGTTGGAGTTGTCGTCGTGCCGCATGGTTTACAGTTCATTGGGTTTGTTGCTGGGCTTTGAGCGCGCACAGTTGCAGCCATTATGAGGCGTGCTAAAAGCATGACGCGCCTTTTGGCTGAATCTGAATCCGGCCCCCACTGCCAGCCAGTCAGCTAGACCCGGCCCAATAACAGCCGGCGATCGGGTGATCAGCCACAGCAATAGCCATGACCAATGCCACAGTCGTCATCGATGCACACATGCTTAGCCCCAGCTCCAGTTCCAGTTCCAGCTCCCCCGTCCCCTGCGCCTATGCCAACCCCAAGTGTAATCAAAGTGCATCAGCAGCAACTCGGGCGCAGCCCTTTGCAAGTCAAAGCCAAAGCCAAAGCCGCAGTCGCAGCTGACAGCGCTGTCGACGGCTGTTGACGCCGGCGCAGCAGAATTTAAAGTTCGGCAATTGCTCGGCTGCGCTTCGGTTGCACTTCGGCAAACACACACATAAAAAAAACAGAAGAAAAAAAAATATATATCAATTAAATAATTTTCTTTGCTGTTGGTTTATAGAGTTGTGTGTTGTTGTTGTTGTTGTTGTTCTTATTCTCGTTGCTGTTGTTGTTGTTGTATATTTTGTGCGCTCGCTTAATTCCATTTTCAATTTCATATTTATGAGTTGGGCGCTAGACAAACACGTCCATTCTGCGTTTGCTATTCGACATTACAAATACGCCGGGCACTCAGAACAGAACCGAACCGAACAGCTCTGACTCCGATTCCGATTGCCAACTCCAACTCCGACTACGACTAGGAGTCCCCATTCCGATTACGATTCTAATTTCTCAGTTTGTGTTCGCTTCATTTCGCGCGCCTCTTTCAACTGTGAAAAAAAGCACGGAAAATAAACAGAAGCATTTTAACTGTCAGCGCGTGCGAAACTCTCGGCGGTGTCTGAGCCAAAAATTCAATAAATACAAAAATAAATACATACATAAATAAATAAATAAAATCATAAATAAATCATTAAAAAATACGTTAAAAACTAGCTAAAAACTAGCTTAAATTAAAAAAGAATTAAAAATTAAAAGTTGAAAATTGCTCGTAGTTTTTTGTTGTTTTTGTTGTTGTTTTATATTATATGCTATCTGTTTAATTGGCACTGCGAACGGTGCTGAAAGAATCTCAAGCATCCAACGGCATGTTCAGCCACTCCGTGCTCAAGGCTCTGGGCGCACTACAACATGGGCTTTCTGTCAAAGGCCGCCTACATCGTGTGGGCCGTGTAAGTAGCTAAACCTAGATGCTGTAGGTCCCCGCTTCTGCCGTCCTGGCCAATGCCTCAACAATGGCTGTGTGTCAATAAATTAGTTTAAATCATGACTACAAAAAAAAAAAAAAAAAAAAATTAATGAGAATCACTTGCAAATTGTGAAATATGTCCGAGTGGAGAGTAAAGATGCATAGTTAATGCATTACTCATAGACTTGTCCCTGAATATCTAGCTGATTGTATATTGTAATATTTCTCTGGAATCAAGTTGACGGAGCCTCTAGTCTTATCTAATTCTACATATATAGACATGTATTAACAAATATCAGTGCTACACTACACAAATCTTAAGCCAAATGAGTCGGTATTTGTTTTCTTGGAAAATAAAAAGATGTCAACATTTTGCTAGAATGCAATAAAGATACTTGCGAAAACAAAAACAAAAATGCAGTCAGAAATAATGAGCTTCTACGCCATTTTAGAGAAATGCATGGAGAATCGGGGTGTACAAAATTTGAAAACTAAAAGTGAAATCATCAATAGTAAACGTAATTAATACTGTTATATTTTAGTCATTAAAATTTATTGGATTCTCAGGGCATAATGTTTGTGCGATGCTCTATGCGACATTTTCTTGATCAAAGCGATGAGATGAGTTTTATGTAGGGCATGGATTGGCCTGTCTGTCCGTCTGGGTAAGAACAGAAAGCTATGTCAATAATATGTCGACCAAGTATGGGCAGTAATATTATTGAACTATGATAGGATGGAAAGTGTTAGGGGAAACTACCGAAAAGGAATTTGCAGACTAAATTTGATGTACAGAACGAAGTTGTATAAAAAGAGATAGCTAAATATAGTTAAGAGCGGCGAAAATAGAATAAGAAATAGAGGGAGAGAGGGAGAGAGAGAGAGAGAGTTAGAGTTAGAGAGAAGTGGATGTAGAGAGAAGAAGAGGATGAGGTAGAGACAGAGTTAGAGAGATAGAGGGCAACAGAGAGGTAGAGGTAGAGAGAAAGTGAACCAGAGATAGAAAGAGAGATAAACAGTCACAGATAGACAGAAGTAGAGAGACAGAGAAAGAGAATCACAGAGAGGTAAAGGAAAGGAGAGATCGAGTGTTAGAGAGAGGTAGAGGTAGAGAGAAGTATAGGTAGAGAGAGGTAGAGGCAGAGAGAAGTATAGGTAGGGAGAAGTATAGGTAGAAAGATAGAGAGGTAGAGAGAGAGAGAGAGGTAGAGATAGAGAGAGGGTCAGAGACAGGTAGAGAGAGAGAGAGAGAGAGGCTATGAAAAAGAGCGACAATAAGATAGAGAGAGAGAGAGAGAGAGAGAGAGTAACAGAGGGTTGGAGAGTGAGAGCTAGAGAAAGACCGAAAAAGAGACAGAGACAGGTAGAGGTAAATAGAGAGAGAGAGGCTAAGAAAAAGAGCGACAATAAGATAGAGAGAGAGAGAGAGAGAGAGTAATAGAAGGTTGGAGAGTGAGAGCTAGAGAAAGACCGAAAAAGAGACAGAGAGAGAGATAGTGAGAAAATAAGGGAAAGCTTTTCTATCCGAATTCTAAACTACAACAGAATCTTCAGGTGATCATAATATTTATGTTTCTGCTTACCATTGGGCACCGTGACTGATTCTCCTAAGATGACCTAAAAGCAAGGATATATAATTAACGCAGACCTAAAGAGGCGTATAGACATGATGGAAATAATTAAATAGAAGAAAATATGTTATATGTATATCTCATAATGATGGAATGCTTATCAAATACACAAAGAAGTTCTTAGAGTAAAGCATTGTATGGCATTGATAGACTCCGTCTTTTACTTTGTATTGCGTTTGTAAATATTTTGTTTTTGCTATTCTATCCGCTGGAATTCGGAAACTTGTTGAGCGAAAAAAATAAATAAATAAAAGCACGCGAAATGCATGCAGTGTCCGTTGTGTTCGAGCGGTACGGACGAGTACGTCAACATCCTGAGTTCTCATATTACAGGGCCGCATTCTAATTGTTTACTACATACGAGTGTCGCATGAATCATATCCCATTGAGTGAGTTGGGCCACGAATTACGCGTGCAAAGCACTTTTCAGTCCGCGGTCCGCAGACACTGCGTCGTTAGGCACTGTGCAGAGGATCGCCAGATCGAGTTGCACGCTTCCTTGCCACATGTTGCAGTTCCCACGGTTCGGCGGCAGATTTGCCACCCAATGCAGATCCATCTATCAAGTGTCTCTCAGGAATGCAACGCCGGCAAATCGGGCAAATCTCTTATCGGCATAACTGCATATATATATATGTGTGTGTGTGTGTATGTGGATTCTCTTCCAGTTGAGCTGTTCTAGCTCAAGTGTTTTTCGTGCACAGCCAATATGCCCCTGCTGCCACGATTACAGGGTATGTGTCGCTTAGAATGTAGTTTTGTTTATGCCACTCATGTCGATCTTGATCGTATCTTAGCTCCGATTACTTAGACTAATTGAGACCTGGAATGGGCTTAGTCTGAAGTGTTTTCGCCTTCTTGCACTCGCATTTCACGCAATCCAATTGAGAAACAATTCGAAACATGTTGAGCGCTTATCGTGCCGCTCTTCGAATGCGAGTTCGAATTCCAATTGGGGCTGCCCAGTTGTAAATTGATGAGAATCGTTTAGCTGTTGCAACTGCCAGTGGTCGCATCGGCTGGATTACCATCCCAAACCACCCAAACCACCCAAACCACCCAAATGCCCCCATCCACCATCCCCTCTCTTCCCTCTCTCTCCCTCTGAGCAATTGCCTCCCATTCTGCCCATTGATGTTGGGGCTTAGTTGCGACATCGTTTTGTTATTAAATTCGTAATACTCGTGCAGCCGACAATGGTTTTATCGTACCGTATGCTTATCAGCGCAGCTATCGGGCCTCGCTCCCTCCCATCGCGTCTTGCCTCTCGCTCCAACTGCACGGCGTTGGCTGCAACGCCTACGCACCTCCAGAACCTGCGCCGTCCAGTCCAGTTACCAAAAAACACTCGCGAGGTGTTTGTTTTGGTTTCGTCGGGCATTCAAAAGTCGGTCAACCCAGTTTCTGTGTCTATATTAAATATTGTTAATTCACCTATCCACTGGGGCATCAAATGGGAATATTTTCCAAGTTCAGCTTCACCTATAACACCATGTGGGCCAAGTAAGTTGTTGTTGTTGTTGCTGCTGTTGCGGAAATGAGACCAGCATAAGTTATCTCATATTTATACATATATATATATATATATATATATATACATATGTATGATATATTCTCTGTGTACATCGGATATATGTTTATAGACTTATGGAATTTCCCTTTGCTGCGATATCAGAATATTTTTGCGGCCCTGAAGAGCTGAAACTGAAGCTGATGGCATGGGAATATATTTGAATGGTGTTAAAGTATATAGCAATTTCTATATAGAGAGACAGAGACAGAGAGACAGGGGATGAGAGATAGGTTGTCAAGGAATTTGAAAAACTTGATCTGCAATGAGAGACTACAAAAGTTCTTTTTTTAATCATTTAAAAACTTACAACAAATACTTGATATATGTGCACATTTATCTGTAGATGTAGTACATATATGTTCATAGATATATGGCCAAGTGGTAGAGCCCTAGTCTTACCAACATTTAGTGTAGAATTTGCAAGAAAAACTAAATATTTATATTATTTTTTCCCATGAAATTATATACAAAATAAAATAATATTTAAATAAATAAAATTATAATAAATAGTTAAGTTAAAAATTTGTTTAGATTGACAGATTTTGTTCTATTTAAAAATTTTTTTTTTTTTTAATTTAGTTTATATATTTATATTTAAAACTGATCAGAAACCAAGCTGAATATTTCATTTAATCGAAGTGTTTTATTGTTTATATTCTTATATTCAAATACCAATATTCTTATTCCTTATAATAATAACAGTTATTCGAAATCAGAGCTCAAGAAGTGAGCCGCGATAAGGGTGCAGCCTAGCTAGAGCTTTATTTTCATATAACACTCGCATGTGAAGCTATTTTTATCGTATTTATGTATGTGTGAGTCTTGTGGGTCTCTGATAAAAACTGTGCCTAGTCGCGTAGTTCATTAGCCCTTCGAGTTGATAAAGAGTATTGTAGACGATATTACACTATGCAGTACTACAAGTAGGTACAAGTACATCTCAAGATGTTTGCTTCGAGCTCTTCGGCAGTTGCTCAACATGCGTGTGTGTTCGTATTGCTATAGGGGCTGTCTGTATATGCTTGGTCGGATCTCTGCCTGTTCCAATAACGGAAGCTCGTAAAGCTCGTAATTCAATTAAAATCGACCGCACCCAACATTTTCGACTGACCCATTGTGTCATCAGTTCGCAATGCACTTTGAGCTGCCGCTAACCGGAATTCTCGATCCTCAACTGCGAACTGGGATGGCACGCACCCGCATCTGTTACAAGCGGCGAAAAACGCGAGCGCGTTTAAAGTCGCGCGCGCGTTTTGCGCCGCACTCAATTCAAGTTAATTGCAAATTTCCTGTGCTGCCTTTTCTCATTTTGTTGTTTTTGCTTCTGTTTTTTCGTTAATAATTTGTTAAATTCAGTCAATTTTGAAAGTAATTTGACACGGCTCAAATTATATTTGCCGATCAGTTACCATTTCAAAAACAAGACAGAAAACAAAACTTTTTTTATTTCGTTTTTATGCCCTGAACCCATTTAGGGAACTTGGGGTATGTTGATTACGGCAAAGTGTTTGTTACAGGTGGAAGAGGGCTTGATAAAAAATGACATTTATCTGTATGCTATTGCTCTATAAATTCGTTAAATAGAATCGTGATGTATAGAATCGATAAATTGAATCGATAGGTAGAACAATGATTGGAATTGAATTCTCTGCTGCGGCTTAGCTGGTAAGCTAGAGGCGCAATGCACGTGGATGATGCGCGCGGGGAGCTCGAGGTTCGAACTCAATCGTAGAAGAATTCCCAACAGTTTGGTTTTTGTCTTCAATCTATTTACTGGAACGAAAGGGAAGGAAAGAGCGTAAATCAAGGTTCGAATCCAAGTGTGGCCTAAGTACATTTACTGTAAGGGCAGAGTAGAGGCGATGCATGTGAAATGAGACGGTGCGCTCGTAGATACAGTTTCCAACTCTTAGGGTAGATGAATTTCTAGAGTAGAGGCAATGCATCAAATATGATACAAACGGAAATTCAGGTTCGAACTCAGGCGTTGATAAATGCCCAACAGTTTTGCTTAGGCCAATCCTATCCACTATATGTGAGCCTATATATAAATAGAAAACTGAGCAATCAGCTTTATCTATATAAGTAGATACACACATTAGGTATACAAAGCTATGCAGCGTATGATTGATTGACTCAGGGCTCAGCTCAGGGTATCTGCTAGTCGAGCACTTCCGTCAGTCTAGAACTTTCTTACATGCTCATTTCTGTTTTATTAACTTTGATTTTGCTCTTTATTAGTTTTTTGTTGTTACTGCTGGGAATTAGTCATTTCCGTGGCACGCAAAAGAGGCGTTAATTGCATTCAAACTGTTGTCACTAGTGCACAGACACGCCCACCCCTGCGCGCCCTCGCTGGCGGACTATTGATCGCTGGCAGTCACCGATCGCCATAATTTGTATTATTAATTGGCCAATTTTCGAAATTCAAGTTGAAGGTCAGAAAGTAAGCGAAACAAAAATAAAAAAATATTAAAAAAAAAAACATAAAAATAAAATAAAAGAAACACAAAAAAAAAAAACAAAAGTAAAACGCAACACGAAATTATGAATCAGCAATTAGAATATTCGTATTTCCCGATATTATTAAAGCCCACGACCGTCATCGCCCATTGGAAAAAGCTTCGACAAGGCCTGCGCTGCGGTTAGTTTTCATTCTTCCGGCTGCGTTTTACCCCCAATTTTTTGTACACTTTGTTTTTCTCACTCATTGATACAAATGTTTAACAAATGGAAAATCTTGAACAAGTTTTATGCTGACTGCCAATTCATTGTTTCTGCCAATGGCATCGCATGGCAATAGATCTTTTCAGCTGCGATAGATGCAACACAGCTCGATAGCAGCAAATAAATATTCTTCTATTCAGAATGCATCGATCGGGTGTGCTCGGCTATGTAGATGCCTTGATTGCTGCTCAGTTTTGGCTGAAGTTTCTGTGCATATTTATAGTCAGACAATGATTGTTCTCTTCAAAGGGCCTTCCATTATGAGAGTTTGGGCTCTAAATTTACAATCTGAGTGGAATTATTAGTTCCAAATAGAAGTATACTATTACACAATGAAATCCCAGTTACTCGAATCGAGTGCCTTAAGTATTCACTTCAAGAAACAGCGGAGCCTCTAGCCTATAGTTTCAAATCTCTATCCTCTGTATTCTATCCTGTATCTTCTAGCATCATACCTGTTCCTCTGTGCTCTATCTTGTAAGCTTGAGCGTCGAACCTCGAGCCTCGAGCCTCCAGTGTACATCCTTCTATCCTCGAGTCTCCAGTCTCTGGTTTCTAGTGTCTAGTCTCTAGTCTCTCTAGTCTCTCTAGTCTCTCTAGTCTCTCTAGTCTCTCTAGTCTCTAGTCTCTAATCTCTCTAGTCTCTCTAGTCTCTCTAGTCTCTCTAGCCTCTAGTCTCTAGTCTCTAGTCTCTAGTCTCTAGTCTTTAGTCTTTAGTCTTTAGTCTCTAGTCTCTAGTCTCTAGTCTCCAGTCTCTAGTCACTTTCCTCTTTGATCTCTCGTGCATTATTTGATTTGACATTATATCCGTGTTTCCACATTTTTGATCGCTTCGCGGCTTACAACACGCTCTTTGACTAGCTAATCTAATCGAAGGTGTTTGGGCAATACATGAGAAATGAAATTTCTTATCAATAAAACGAAGTTTGTGCAATAATTAAAAATTATTGTCATTATGAACTCTGCTGGCCTTTCGATATGTATTTACAATCGAAGAGAGTTTTTATTCTTAGTTCAATTATTTCATAACTTTTATTAATGTCATTTATTTCGTACATGTTTTTGATAGGCGATAAATGTTTAACGATAATTTTTGACTAAATAAATTATATAGTATAATATCTTTTATATTAATCATCTTAATTTTGTAGATTAAAGATCAATCTTATTTCTATTTAAAAGCGAAAGGAAATCGATTAAAATGATCTATAATTAATTTAGATTTTATATACAATATATTGATGCGCATTCAAAAATATTTTTTCGATTTCTTGACACACGCTACTCTTAAGTAAATTGAAAACGGGTATATTGGCTTCATAGGCATTTTATTAAATATTTTTATAGAGATAGTATTAAATAGATTATGGGGTAGACTATATAATCTTCAAGTTGATTAAAATGTAGCGAGTATGCTGGAGCTGATAGCACCCCACTGCTGGGGAGTTGCTTGTTAATGCGTCTCATTACCAAAGTGTCAGCTTAGCCACATGGCTTGGAGCACTTGGGGCCAATCGATTGCGGCCAAGTGAGTAATTTGTCTGACGTAATGCCATCAGCTCCGATTCGGCTCACTTAATAAATAAATTAACTACGCCTGTATATACATAACTAACAATCTCTGTCCCTTTCTCTCTTTCTCTCTCTCTCTCTGTCTCTCTCTGTCTCTTGCAGCCTGTTCGAGCAGGAGATCATGAGCTATGTTCCTATTGAAGAGCGGAGTCCGCAGGGCTCGCCGGTGCTCAGCACACGTATGCCGCAACGTGCTCCGCCGCCATTCCGGCGTGACTTTGAGGCCAAGCTGCGCAGCTTCTATCGCAAGCTGGAGTCGAAGGGCTACGGCCAGGGCCCGCACAAGCTGAAGTACGTGAGCAGCCGAAGGAGAGCGGCAAGTGAACGATTTGAGCTGAGATTGACTTGTTTCTCTCCTTCACAGATTGCACATCCGGCGCAGCCATCTGCTGGAGGATGCGTTCCGCCGCATCATGTCGGCCAACAAGAAGGACCTGCAGCGCGGCCGCCTCGCCGTGCTGTGGGACACCGAGGAGGGCCTGGACTACGGCGGGCCATCGCGCGAGTTCTTCTTTCTGCTGTCGCGCGAGCTGTTCAATCCCTACTACGGACTGTTCGAGTACTCCGCCAACGACACGTACACGGTGCAGGTGTCGCCGCTGTCGGCGTTCGTGGACAACTGCCACGACTGGTTCCGGTTCAGCGGGCGCGTGCTGGGCCTGGCTCTGGTCCATCAATACCTGCTGGACGCGTTCTTCACGCGGCCCTTCTACAAGGCGCTGCTGCGCCTGCCGGTGGCCCTCAGCGATCTGGAGTCGCTGGACAATGAGTTCCACCAGTCGCTGCAGTGGATACGCGACAACGACATCGGCACTGGCGTCGACCTGGGCCTGACCTTCTGCGTGACCGAGGAGCTGCTGGGCCGTGTGGTCGAGCGCGAGCTGAAGCCGGGCGGCAAGAATCTGATTGTGAACGAGAAGAACAAGAAGGAGTATCTGGAGCGCATGATCAAGTGGCGCCTGGAGCGCGGCGTGCAGGAGCAAACAGAGTCGCTGGTGCGCGGCTTCTATGAGGTGGTCGACTCGCGGCTCGTCTCCGTCTTCGACGCACGCGAGCTGGAGCTGGTGATAGCGGGCACCGCCGAGATCGACACGAACGACTGGCGCCTGAACACCGAATACCGCTCCGGCTACCATGACAACCATCAGGTGATCATCTGGTTCTGGCAGGTGATCGAGCGCTTCAGCAACGAGCAGCGCTTGCGCCTGCTGCAGTTCGTCACCGGCACCTCGAGCATACCGTACGAGGGCTTCTCGGCGCTGCGCGGCTCCACCGGACCGCGCCGCTTCTGCATCGAGAAGTGGGGCAAGCCGAATGCGCTGCCTCGCGCCCACACCTGCTTCAATCGGCTCGACCTGCCGCCCTACCCCACGCCCGAGCTGCTCTACGAGAAGCTGCTGCTGGCCGTCGAGGAGACGAACACCTTTGGCATCGAGTGAGCTCCACTTGTACTCTGGATGCGGTTGGTGGATGTGGTTATGAACTGGCACTTGGCTGCTGATGCGTGATATTTGCAGAGGAGTTTTTCTTTTCTTTCTTTTTTTTTTTTTGTATTATAATTAGTATTAGTTTTTTTTTTTTTAAATTGTATTTATTGTATGTATTTAGCGGCTTCGCGAGCTGGCGGCAAATTTTGTTGTTGCCGGCGCATTCGATTAGCTGAACAGACTGTATTTTCTCTCTCGCTCTCTCTCTGCTTAGCCGACAGCGAATCGTGGCTTAAATATATATATAGAATGTGGTTGGCTGGCGAATCTTGTTGCTTGCGAATTTGAAATTTCATTTGAATTGCCGCTATAATTTTTGCCGTTTACCGTTACTGTTACCGTTACCTCAAAAACATTTTGCCAGCGCCCTGAAAAAATGGTGCCGCACATTGCAGTCATTAGAGTTAAGATTAAACTAAATAGTACATATACATATATATATAACTAGACACACACACACACACACACACACACACAGATACACACCTCTGGAACCAATGACAAAACTGCTGTCCCTAGACTTGGAACGAATGAACTGCAACTGCAACTAGTTCGTTCAATTGAACCTGTTTACTTAAAGCTGCCTAAAGGAACTTTTGCAACTTAAGCATAGCAAAACTTAAAGCTCTCGTCCCGAAAGCTAAACGAGCGAGCAACTCTCTTAGCACTTGAAAAAAAAAATTAAATAAAAACGAAACCAAAAAAATGAAAAAAAAATAAATAAAAAATATGAAACAACTAATGTAGGTCCATGAAGAAGGCCTATGAACAAATTCTACGCCAATACTTAAATAGCTTGTAATTTTTTAGCCTTAACAAAAAGCAAATCTCTTTAGATGTGTGCGTTATTAGCTATGCATTCCATTTAGGAATTGAAAGATTGATGATTAAAGATTGAAGATTGAAGATACATACGTATGTTAGTTATATGATAATATTTCAAACTACAACTTATACTAAATTCATATTTAAGTAAAACTGTTTTTAAATTTACAAAGAAAACAAGAACAAAAACAAAGACCGATCGAGATATACGTATATGTATTTACATTGAGCCAGACATATACCTAGATATGTGTACATATATGGGTATGTGGTTACCGGTTGACCCCTAATACAAATTGGTCCAATGCGTTGCTTTGGCTTTATTGGTTTACTCGGCGCATAATATTTAATATTAACTATTAACTATAAACAACAAATCAAAATATTAACAATTTATTAGCTAACATTTATTGCGAGAGGTGACAAATTTTGATGAATCGTATTGAAAACTGAATAAACTGATATGAGAATACGAGAAACACAATTAATGGATTGTGATTTGTTTACATATATGTATTTATGGGCATTAGTTAAACACACAACGACGACGACAGACAGACAGAGACAGACACAGACTCAGACTCTGATAGAATGAGATAGACAGATAAACGGATGAGTATTAGAAAAGAGATAGAAACGCTTTTTTGAACTATCTACGAGTATATTGATAAATTGAGAACGTTTTATTGTATTATTAATGTGCGTGTATTTATTAAATAAATTAACTATAATTAACGAATTAATAAATGTGTGAGCCTTTTACTTCAAAAGCTAAACGTTGTCTTTCAATTGAGAACTGAGAACTCAAAGTTCTGTTGTAAAATTATATCTCGTATAGCTGAAGATCTTAACAGTGAATCGGGTACTGCTATGGTCCTGGAATGATACACTTGACTGATGATTTTCAGTTTAGTATTATCGTTATTCATGCTCACACATTGATCTCTATATATATCTGCCTATAGCTACTAAGATTTTATTATTATTTTTATATATGCTTTCAAACATTCTAGAGTATATAATTTAATATCTCCAAAATGGATCCCACTTTCTACAAAAAACCTATAAGTATTATTGTCACCCTCTGGGAAGTCTTAAATCTAGACTGTTATGCACTCGGTAGCCCCCCATATTATTTTAATCTCCTATCTGCATTTCTGGGCCCGATTGTTTTCAGCTCATCCTGAAAATATGCAGCATATGAATTGTGCTCGCTGATCTGTAAAGTTTCGTACTGTTCCCATAAAAGTATGCGATGTATTGGTATTCCCTGTAAAAATAGTTATTTTTTTTAATAAAACAGCAACAGAATTTTTTGTTCGATTTCTATATATTTTTTTGTTTTATTTAATTTTTTTACAATTTTTGTTTTGGGTTTTGATCATTTCTTTTTTTTTGTTCATCTTCAGTATTCAGCAAATGAAATTCACTTTACAAATACCGAAATTATTTTGCAATTTTTTATTTATTCTATTTGTTTCTTTTTTTTTATTTAATGAAAATGATAGCGTATGTACTAAATATATATATTTATATATATATATTATATTTTTAAATATTTCGATCGTTTTTTGTAGGCTTCGGTCTTAATGATTTTTGGATTAATTTTTAAGCAGTTGGACTTGGGCTCGGTTCGTTCTTAGTTTATGTACAGAGTTTTCTTCTTCTTCTTCACTTTTAATTGATTTCTTGAGCTGAACAATGGAAGTACTTATGCAAATGTCTAGGATAATGAAAGGAGAGTGATTACGATATCCATTTAGGCAATAAGAGAACAAGAGACGCATTCCTCGGATATTCTTTTATTTAGTTAAAGCTTAAGTTTAGTTAGTTGTGGGCTAAGGGTTAAGGGTTAAGATGCGCTGAATTGGGTGGGCTGGATAACGATCTCTGTTCGCTTTATGTGTGTTATGTGTGTTTGTGTGTGGGTGTGTAAATGTGTTTATAAAGCCCTCGACTGTAGGCAGCATCAAATGCAGAGCTTCTCAAACATTCGGGCCATCATGTGTATGTGTGTGTGAGTGTGTGTGTGTAACACTAACTAATTGTACATTAGATTAGAAGAAATTTCGCTAAATCATTTAGTTACATACATATAATATACATTCATATCTTTAGCCAAATATTTTCTATACAATTAAATAAATTCTCTTTGTTCAGACTAAGGAAAATATATGAAAAATAATATGGAATATTTTTGACACAGACTGTACATACATTATACTTATATATATATGTGTGGGTGTGTATGTGTGTGTGTGTGTGTTTGTGTATATGGATATATATAGTGTGTATTACTTTGATTTCGATTTCAAGCATTACAAAAATAGAGCCATATTTTTGAATTTCGAAATAGAGCAGATGATTTTTTATTTTGTATTTATTTATTTATTTATTTATTTTTTGTTTCGCGGTTTCGAAAAGGCCTTTGAAAGAATTGAAAATTGTTATATTCGCATGTGTGTATGTATTTATATAGTTGGTGCATTTGTTTGTTTTTTTTTTTCTTCGCTCCACTTTGATTTCGCATGATATTCATAAGCATTGACCAGCATTTGTTATTGAGCTATGCAATTGCCATGGGATTATCTAACTTGTTTCTATATATTTTCAAAAAATTTCCTTTTATGTTCTTTAAATTTCTCGTAAACCTGGGCTAGTGTGTGTGTGTGGGCGTGGACTGAGCAGGATGTGATTGGATTAGCTTTTAACTTGTTTACGTTTTTTTTCCTTTCTACATCTTTGTTTCCAACATGTTGATCACAGCTTTTACAATTCTAATGATATACAAGTGTGTTGGTGTGTGTGTGTGTGATGCTCTGACTGTGTATGTGTGGCCATCAAAGTTTTCTCTTTGGATATCTTCAATTGGATTCTTTTACTAAATTCGCACCAAAAATACTGTTAACTATATATGCGCAGGTGTGGGTATGTTTGCATGTGTATGCGTGTGTGTGTGTTTGTTTGTATGCATAATATACTCGAAAGCCCCGCCTACATTTTGCATATACAGCTGTGTTCATAAAAAATCAAATGCAATTTCGAATAGAATGCAAAGCCAAGAAAATTCCATTCCTGATGGAAATTTTAGTTGATAGTAATATTATGTGGTTGTTTATCACTAAGTTTTGTTGCCCAACGTTACTTTTCTCATGAACACATCTGTATCTGCACTTAGCTATTCCATACATACTTAGAATTAGTAATACTTTTTTAGTTCCACTTTTACACAAATTTTGCACTTTTATTTTATTTATTTATTTTATTTTTTTTATTTTTTTAGTAATCTTTTTGTATGTAAAAAGCTGCCCGATTGGTTTAAATTTTGTTATTCCTTTGCCACGCACAACAACTACATACATATACCTAAATGTCATTTCTTTTTCAATTTCTTCATCTGCAATTTTTTGTCTTTTTCTTTTGTTTTCTTGGCATTTAAAAATTTAATACAAAATATCTTGATTTTAGTTGTAGTTGCTTTCGCTGTCTGCATGAATATCTAGAAAAGAAGGCATTACATACATATACATATATCTATCTGCATATATGCATGTATGTAAGTATGTGTGTGTATGTGTGTGTGTTTCTTTGCTGTCTGTGAGCTATTCTTCTCCCTCGCATAACTCCAACTTTTACTTGGTAAATTGTTTATTAAAAATTCCACTACAAATACAATAAATTTACTGCTACGCGCTGATAAAGCAAAAAAACAAAAGAAAAGAAAAAATTAAATTAAATTTAAAAAAAACACACATTTTATGTCATAACAATTAAACAGCTAGTAAGACGGTTCACTTTTTCCATTTCTCTATTTTAATATATATATATGCATGTATGTATATATAATTTATTATACTTTATTTTGCATTCTTATATTTAACGTGTTTCTTACAAAGCGCTTGAAATTTTGGTACAGACGAGTTAACCTCTTCCTCTTCTTCTTCAAGACGTGGCCTGGTGGGTTCAACAGTTCAGACAGGGAGGGAGGGAGGGAGGGTTGGTTCAGATAATGCTGTTGCGTAACTGTTAATCAGTGTGTATGGGGAAACAAGGTTGAACAAATCTTAGATATTCCCAAGATATATATGTATATGTATATTTCGGTATATATGTATGTATGCTTGCCTATGTAACTAGGTTTATTTATTTATTCATATTTTGTTTTTAGTTGATTGTAGGAATTTTTGCAGCAATCTGTTTTGTTTTTTTATAAAATTAAAAAAATGATTTATTTGAATTACATTAGAGAAAAAAATACAAAAAAAAAAAAAACATTTGTGGTCAATCCAGCTGCACTTGCTAATTATTATTATTATTATTATTATTATAATGTAATGCAATATTTTAACATTTATTGACTTTGATATTCTACTCCGATTTACCGCCGGACGGTATCAACTTGTTATTCGTTTCTGTTTCGGATTGGGGCTCCGTTTCCGTTTCGTCCTTCCGCTTCCGTTCGTATGCTGCCCTCGGCCCGCGCTCCGTTCCTTTCGTTGTACTTTGCCACATTTCTATCTAAGCGTCATTTGAATGAACTATCTTAATTATCTTTCATGCAGCTCTTGCTTATAGTTAACTTTAGTCGGCCTGTTAAATAAATGTTTGTTGTTGTTGTTTCTCTTTTGTTTGCTTTTGCATATTTTTAGCAATGTTAAATTTTATTTGATTTTTTCTCGTTTTTTTTTATATATATATATATTTTTATTTTTATCTAGTTTTTGCGTATTTTCTTTAAGTTGTGTTGTTTTTCTCAGTTTTTAATTTAATTTAATTTAAGTAAATGTACATTACAATTACAATTACAATTCATGTTACTTAGAGGCGTTGCCCAGGCTAGGGAAGGGGCGGGTTGTGGGAGCTGTTGATTAGGGCAATTGCTGGGTTTCTCTTTGTGTTTGTTTCTTTTCTCAAACAAAAAAAAAATAAACAAAAAAAAAAAGGTAAACTCTTGTATCAAATAATGCATTTTAAATATTAATTACGTACATTACATAAAACTTGGTATAAATACAAATACATATACATGTGCATACCGCGTAGGTATGCCTGCGTGTGTGTCTGTGTGTGTATATCAATATATGCACGTCCTGCCTTCTAGTCGTATGCACTAAGCATTTACAATTACATGATATACGCATATATATATATATATATAGAGCTTTCGATGCATTACAGCTACAACACACAAATGTACAGAATGTATGTGTGTGTGTGTTTAGCACTAAGTTTGTTTTTGCACAGTTGCAGCTACACATTCATTTTCATTTTCATTTGCATTTTCACAATTCACATTTCACATTCAATTTTAAATAATATAATATAATAATCAGAAACATACACAGAAATAGTCTCAACTTTACAATTATCAATGAACTGGCATCATTCGATCTCGCTCTCGCTCTCGCTCTCGCTCTATCCTTTTCATATACATCAGCTAGATCTCTCTCGATCTCTCTCTCTCTCTATATATATATATATATTGTGTATAATAGGTATGTTAAAAAAAAAGATTATTATTACAAAATAAACATAGATCGTTTGTCTAATGTAGCAGCTAATACAAAATTACAATTGCAATTTATAATATTAATGATAATAATAATAATAATAATATATTATATATTTATAAAATAATAGTTATCCAAAAAAAAAAAAAAAAAGCTGATCATAATATATAATTAATCTGTATACAATATGTATTACTTGTGGCTGCAATTTGGATTGTGTGTGTGTGTCTCTGTGTGTGTGTGTGTGTGTTAAAGCCCTACTCGGAATCCTGCTCCCGCTCATCGAATCCCGCCAGATCGACCGTCTGCAGCATGCCCCGCGAGTAGGCGTACTCGATCAGCGCCAAATGGCAGAACACATATTGATCCGGCATTTGTATGGAGTAGGCGCGCTGCGAACGGATCTTCTCCACGGTGCCGCGTATGTCCGCCGTGCCCACATCCTCCAGCCGTGATATGCAGATGTCCAGCGTAATGAAGGTGCCTGCCATGGACGATAAAGTGTGGGGATTAGTGTTGGCTAAAATGGAATTCAATTCTTTGGCACTAACCGGTGCGTCCAATGCCAGCGCTGCAGTGCACCACAATGGGCGGTCCGCGCGGATGTCCAGCCCAGGTGTCGCCGAGGGCGCGCACCAGCTGCGCCTGCTTGTCCCGCACCTTCTGCAGGAAGTTCAGCATCGCCATCGCCGAGCTGGGCACACCATAGTCCGGCCAGCTGGTGAACTGCCAATGTGACACATTGCGAATTTCGTCAGTCTAGAAAGAGATGGAGAGAGAGTGAGAGAGTGAGAGGGTGAGTGAGTGAGAGATGGAGTGAGCGATTCTTTGACTGGGCTCACCTTTAGGTTTCTCAATTCTAGGGATGCAACGGTGTAGTCCTCATTGCTCTCGACGCTTATGGTTCGCACATGGTAATTGCCAAAGTCCAAGGAACTATCTTCAGTCGGCTCCCAGTATTGGCCGCACTTAACACGTCCGCGCTCCATCACGCGCGTTGTCATAACTATAACTAAGCAATGCTGCTCCCAGATCATGCGCCAAAAGTCCTGGGATGTCTTTGGTAATGGACCTGCCAAATGCGAAACGAAATCATGTATATTAGTGCAACACTCTAGCTGTGGTTGTGGTTGTGGGCGTGGCTGTGGTGGTTGCCTCTGCCTGGGAAGCCATAGCGGGCGCATCGATTCGTTCGGGCTTACCTTGAGTTGAAATATAGGCGTTCTTCTGCTTGTAGCCATCAACGAAATTGGCATTGATGTAGTCGGACAGGTCGTCCTCATCCTCGTGCGCGAGCACCACGCGACTGTGATCGTAGCAGAGGACATCTGTGTAACGGTTTTTGGTCAGATTGTTGCGCATGCTGCAAATGGATGAAATGCATGAATTCAGTTTCGAACTCGAATTCGAATTCGAATTCGGATTTGGTGTCACTTGAGACTTACCGCGCATGCAGGAAGGTGCCCTCGGGCGCCCGATTCCTTATTTCCGTATACTCCTTGATTAGGCCCTGGCGTCCCCGTTCACGCACCATTTGCACGATCTGCTCGATCGTCTTCGGATCACCCTCCTGCCCGGCCAGGCTGTCATCGTCGCTGAAGCCGGATGAGGCGCTGCTCGGCGGATTTTCCGACCAGAACTCGGCTGCGCTGCCGTTGCTGGCCACGCCAGCGGCGCTGTCAGCTGCCGTCGCTGCTGCTGCTGCTGCTGCTGCTGCTGCCGTTGCTGTTGTTGCTCCTGCTGCTGCTGCTGCTGCTGCTGCTGCTGTCGGCGCAATGCTAACTGCAGCAGTACCGTTACTCTGCTGAATGCCGCTGGTATTTAGCTTGAGCAGAGAGCCGGCCGTGCCCGCAGACGCCGCCGTCCGATGGCTGGGACTCAGTCCGTTGATTGTGATGTTCTCGTTGGGCTCCGACTCCTCGCTGCTGCCGCTGCCGCCGCCGCCCGTTCTGCCGTGCTCCCCGCTGACGGTGACAACGGTTGTGTTGCTCTCGGCCAACTGGTGCACGGCGCTGATGATTGTGGCTGCTACGGCGCTGGCAGCGCTGCTGCCGTTCGTCAATGGCGACGCGGCGGCCGAGGTGTTTGCTGCTGTCGTTGCTGGTGGCACGCCCACGCCCACACCCACGCCGACAATATTGGCAAGCAGTTCGTCTTCACGATTCGTCATCGATTTGCGGCAATTCAGCAACCATGTGGCGTGATCGATTTCCAGCGTGCCGCCAAGATGCACAGGCAGCGCCTTGCGCGGCACGTGCAGGCTCAGCTGCGGCACCGATACAGTGAACACCCGCTCGCGCAGCTTCTCGCGCACAAACAGGCGAAGTATCTTGAACGGCGCCTTGAACCACAGCGGCGCCGTCACAATCAACACTTTCTTCAGACGTGCCGGATAGCCGCCCTAAACAGAGAGAGGGAGAGAGAGAGAGAGAGAGAGAGAGAGAGAGAGAGAGAGAGAGGTAAAAAGTGAGAACAGATATTGCAAAATAATTCCATTAAAATATATTCATATTTAAAAGAGTTTTTATACCCTGAACCCATTGAAAATGGGAAATCAGGGTATGTTTTTGTGAAAAAGTATGTAACAGGCAGAAGGAATCATCGCAGAACCCACAAAGTATAGTCGAGATAGCCCTGTCCGTCCGTCCGTCCGTCTGTCCGTATGAACGCCGAGATCTCAGAAGATATAAG